TTGTCTCCTTTTGTGTACTTACTTGTTATGGGCAACATGAGTTTGTACCCATAACTCATCATATTTTCATTAGTATAAGAAACTAGGAAGCTTTGTATACTTGGGTGAGGTCTTTTTTTCCTTATTAAAATTTATTTTAACTATAGCAATTCTTCCAAGAGAAGAAACATTTTTTTCTATGTTCATAACTATTACTCATGAGGTAATGAACATGTGTGAGCTTCATATTTTGTGGCTTTGCTGCTTTTCTTCACACCCACAGCAACATATATTATCTCACTATGAATATGGAAGCTCTTTTTATCATGAGGCATAACCTGTAAATGTTTATAATGGAAAGGCCAATTTCATCTATGAACCTTAGAAATTTTGTGGAAAACATGTAAAGAAACATTTGAAGTTGACATTTCTCATTATTGTTGCAGAATGTACAATGGCCTTAATTAAAAAGTGATAAAAATGTATCAATGAAAGAAAGAAAAAATATAGTCATTTTCTTTGAGCTGGCACATGACATCGCTGTAAGGACTAGAATTTCTGCTCATTTATTGACATATAGTCCCTGGGGAACAAGAAATGCTGGGATTTGGCTAATCTCTCATCTTTTGTAACCAAGGGAGGATACACAAACTCTCTGAAGTCATGTGTGGTCTGTCTTGAGGTACACAGAAAATATAGCTGTCATCTCCAGTCTTTATTTCTTGAGGTTTAATACCAGCCATTTCTGAAAGGAAGTTTCCTTCCTTATTTGTATTTCTTTTCATTATTGATTCATATTCTTTATTATTAATATGAAAATATTTTGAACAGAGCAGTCAGTACAAGATACCACTATCTCAAATTTTACAGTAGTCTGTGTGCTTGTGATATTTTGTACTCATTGTACTCACATTTTCTTCTGCAATACTACAACTGACATTGTGTATCACAGAAATAAGGATTATCTGTACTGTTGCAGGCATGTCGCTTCAATCTCAAAGAGAACCTGCCAACCCCAGCACTGAAAAGAAGGCATCTTCACTGTCACTGAGTCAAAAAGACACTGAATATGATGATGTTGAGCTTGTCAACTAACTCTACAAATAAGACCTCTGTGATATTATTTACAAAATAAATATCTACCATCTTCATTACTATATTTTTTTTACCTTTATGGACAATTAAAGGAAATATGATAGTAAGTTCTCTGTGCTTACAGGGAAGAGTCTATTTTTCCTTAATAATGTGTGTACAATGAAGCTGATGGCCTTGGAAAATTCATTTTCAGAGTGAAAATGGAAAGTGATATCATTTTTGTCACGTGAGATCTCAGTTCAAAATCCATGTTATTTCTCCTGCCAACTACCCTCTTTCCTTCTATGCTTAATGTTCATTTTCCTTCGAATTTCATAAATCTCTGAAATGTGACACAGAATACAGTTCTGACTCATATGAGGAGAAACTTAGAGATATCCAGCCGAATCATCCAAAATATCTAATTTATTATTTACTAATAGCTAGATTTGTGGTCCAGAATAAAGGGATATTTCAAGTGAAAAGAAATAATTGTTCCTCTTCTAATTTTCATATAATATCACTAAAATTTG